AGCCCTGCTCCTGCCTTGCCCCCGGCTTGCCTCACTCCTGGTAACTTAGTTCTGACTCTTGGCTCAGATTCCTGGCGCTGAGTCTCCTGCTCTAACCACTAGGCATAACAGGCCACCCTGACCTCTATGCATCCCCAGCCAAGCTTCTACATACCCACATCGGCCCCACCTCCAGTCACTCTGCTCTGATTTATAGGAGAGGTATGGACTATTAAAAATAAAATGTCAATTATATTTATAAGTGGAGACAAAGTGGATCAGTGGGACCATGGAAGATCCCAGATATGCTTGGATCAACCTTGCAGCCAGGTTCCAGCAGGGGTCATTGATTCAAAGTGCCAGAGCTCTGTGTACGGCTGCCATGTGCTCAAAATGTGGGAGCTCTGTGTATAAACTCCATCACACCCAGCTTTTTACTGTCAGTGTTGCTCAGAGTTCTCTATAACTACCCAACGAACAGAGACCCTCGGCCAGATTCTGCACTCGTTTCCAGGGTGTAAAATGTGATTAACTCCACTGATTTCAGTGGCATTACTCTAAGACTATAAATGAGAGCTGAATTTGGCCCCAATTGTATATTTTACTCACCACCATGAATGCCACAATGACGGCTTTCTGCGAGAATTCATGGGCTTCTTTTGCTTTCTGGCTGATGTCGCCAACAGTTCTGGTGAATGCAGCCATTGACCTCAGAAAGCTCAGCTTCAGACCTAGGTTCTAAACCCCACCAGGAATGGGGAGAAAGATAGTTTAGTGCATTAATGACACAGAACTCCATGTCAGGAGAAATAAAGCAATTTAGGTTGTGGCTTTATAGACTAGAATATAAAGGTGAGATATTAGATCCAGCTAGCTAGCTTCTACTGGTAGAGTAAAATGTTTACATCTTCCCCTTTGCCAGGCCTTAACTCAACCAGTTTAATCACACTCTAAAACACAATGACTTTCTCTAGGCTAGAGTTTTAGAAGATGTTAATTAGACCAAGTTAGCTAACATCATGCCTTTACATCTTAGTCTAGAGAGGGCCTTAGAGTGCTCGTGTCAAAACATAGTATAGTGAGATACTGTCCCTTACCCATCCTGCCTGTTCCACATTCTAAGGCTGTGTCTACACTAGAGACTTTACAGTAGCGCAGCTGTGCCACCGTAAGGTCTCCCATGTAGCCGCTTTATGCTAACGGGAGAGAGCTCTCCCGTCGCATAATAAAACTTCCATCAATGAGCGGTGGTAGCTATGTCAGTGGAAGAGGGTCTCACACCAGCGCTTCTGTCGCTGAAACTTATGTCAGTCATGTGGGTGTTTTTCCCCACAACCCAACGGACAAAAGTTTTACCAACAAAAGTGCTAGTGTAGACATAGCCTAAGAAATGTTCTCTCTCTAGCCAACTAATATCCAATATCTGTTCTCATTGCCTTAACTCAGAAGCAAGGATAACTATTATGTGTTGCGACCTTATGACCCACTGAAATACAGGAACATAAAAAGGGGCCCATATGTATCTAGTATCTTCATACAAGTATCATTTGTTTTAATTATCATGATTAACAGAAGATTTCATTAAGGCTGTAACTCACCATGTATGGTAATAACAATCACTCTAACCATTGGAATATGAATCTGAAAAATCAAAAGCTACACGAGAGGTAAACTTTTCAGTTTAATTTAAATAAGAAGGGAACAGCCTGAAACTGGCCTGTCACCATACCTATAAAAATATCCATTAGTAACACTGATCACATCTCCTCACTTTCCATGATCAGATGGAAAGAGACACATTTTCTACACCCTACACCAGATCCTGTGACCAAGAATTTGACAAACCTCCTTCTGTTCTCAGGCCATGCGGAGAAAGCAAATCTCAGAAAATCTCCTCTTTCTCCATGATTCCAGTTCTCATGACCAAGTGACAAGTGAGATCACTATATTTGGACAACACTTCAGAAACCTGCCTTGCTAGAAAAGGTTACTGCCAATCTCTCCTACTAGTCTCAGAAACATCTGAAAACAGACAAGGGAGAGGCACAGGGAGTGTAGAGGGAAGGGACCTGCTAACTGTACCTTACCTTTTTCTGGAGCGGTTTTTCAAACACCAAAACACACCAAACCAGAAATCTTTGTTCTGCTTAAAGAACTCTTACTATCTTTAAAAAAGGAAAGATCATGGGTATTATAGAACAGCAAGTGTTATTTCAGAATCAGGAAAATTAGTTAGATGGATCACTAATTTGATTCAGTATGTTCTATGCTGTGGATGCAATGCAGATATAGGGCCCTTACGGTGACCCCTTTCCAGAACATTCACATGAGAAGCAATAATGGATGATGTCCCAGCAGACAGTTTCCTGTCAGCTTCCTAGTGGAGACAAGCTGAGCCCAAAACAAAGATTGCTGCACCCCAGGAACTCTAAAGTTTAAGGAAGAGAAAAACATCCATAGCAATTGTCCATGTTCACAGTACCGTGGCTGAGGCAGCGTAGCGGCAATAGTGGTATAACATTTGGGACAGGATGTGGTCCACCCAGGGCAGGATGTTGTCCTTTGTTTCCTTGGCCACCTGGTCATAGCAAAGGTGAAGGGTGCTGGATGCCATACTCCACTTACTCTGTTGTGCATCCTGTAGTAGAAAGGGAGATAAATGCAAACTCATCTTTCCAGATCACTCTCTCTCATGGACAACGCCCCCACCACCCACCCACCCACACCCACACCCACCTGCTTCACTCTCCAAATATTCAGTGCTAGAAAATTGTCTATAGGTAAGAGAAAACCTGCAGATGAAGGAGAGGTTCTCAGAAGAGCTGAGATTGATAGGCTTTATGGCCAGAGGGCAGGGGCGGCTTGAGGAAGTGCGGAGCCTGATTCAAATACCCGGCGGCAGTCCGGGTCTTTGGCAGCACTTCGGCGGCGGGTCCTTCACTCGCTCCGGGTCTTCTGCGGCACTGAAGGACCCACCGCCGAAATGCCACCAAAGACCCAGAGCAAGTGAAGGACCCGCCGCTGACGTGCTGCCGAAGACCCGGACCGCTGCCAGGTGAGTAAAAAAATTAAAAAGGTGCCTAATTTAGGCACTCTTCTTTAGGGCGCAGGGCCCTTTTAGGCCTGGGTGCGGGGCCCTCTTAGGCATGTGGCCCGATTCGGGGGAATCGGCCTAAAGCCGGCCCTGCAGAGGGGACCATTCTGATCATCTAGTCTGACCTCCTGCATAGCATAGGCCTTAGGATTTCACCCAGTGATTCTTGTAGTGGAGGAGAGAATTATTCTTTCTTGCCATGTGAGTGAACTCTACTGAGGCCAATAACTTGTGATTGAACTAGAGCAAATCCAGTCTCTCTCTTAAAAGGACATCCACTCGAGTCAAAACTTGAAGTAGGGAATTTACAACAGATGTGATATTGCAAGAGAAATATCCATTGTGTAAGCAGAGTCTGAATGAGCTCTAACCTCTAGTGATGGGGTGAAAAAACTTCAGGACTAAACTGTTTACATGACCACATTTACTCTGCCTAGGTATTCAGCAGACAGAGCTGTGCGGCCAAAGTGATCAATTTTGGATGATTTTGGGTCAGTGCCACCCTCTTTCAGGAGACAGAAGTTTAAATATCAGAACAGGTGGTGCCCCTCTTGAAGGCCTTTTGTTTCCGCCCATTGGATTGGGTGTCCTGCAGCAGTTTGTCCTCAGCCCAGAAGTGACCAGGTCACAGGTCTTTCACTAAAAGATCACACATCATCAGGTAGTGCAACCCATTCTTCTACAAATGCAATTCCTACTGGAAAAAGGCAGCACTCTCCTCTGTAACTTTAAACAAGTACAGATGACCCCAGAAGTATCACTGAAAAGAAGGGGTGGAGGGGAGTCTAGTAAACCTGTCTGCTTTGCAAGCCTCACTTGAGCCATGGTTTCGCAGTAAAATAACACATCAGCTGTACCTCACCGGGTGAGCTTTCGTCTGGGTTCAGAATGTTAATGAATTCCTGAAGCACCACCAAGATGTCCTTGAGGTGGCGGGTAGCTACGAGACTGATGGCAGAAGCAATCCCCTAAAACATGGAGTCATGCTTCAGTATGGAACATTTCCCTTTCCTTGTTCCTCACCTGTACCCTCCACCCCAACTTTTCCACCACCCAGACATCCCTTCCACATCCCTTCCCAAGCTTTGGAGGGCCTCTATTCCATTCAGATAGGCTAGCTCCTCCATCATTACTCTCCTCCTTTCCCTAGTTTGCTTAAAGATCTTTGATAGCCTTTATATGCCTCTTCCTTTCCCTGCCTCCACTCCAAGATTACATAATTTCTCCCATTCTAGTTCACACAGAGATATTTGGTCACTCTTCCATTTCTCTCTATGCCCCCCTCTTCAGTCTATGGAAATTCTCATTAGTCCCTTTCTCTCTCCAGAGAGATTCATTGATGACCCCTCCATTTCCCTCACCTCTCTCTCGGCTTCCTCCTGCTGAGAAGTCCGCAGTATAATGCTGAGGTACTCTCTCACCACCTCTCTGTTTCTTGATGCTCGTACAACTGCCCCATAAAATTTATATGGGAAAAACTATAAAAATACAGGATTATCTTTAGATACAGGGGAATGATTATTCCCCATTAATAAATTTTAGAGCTCACCATTTGCAGTATATAAGAAGAAATAATTTCTTTGGTGTTTTCATATCTTTGAAAGAACTTCATATCATTATGGGCTACGAGTAAAGAATTGTGAAGTCTGTTGGAACACTAACTAGAGCCAGTTACAATGTGACCTCTGTGACGTTGCACTCCATATGATTTTATGAAAATATGCTAATGACTGTGAATATAATGTAACTGGGATATGCTTCATGCAAAAGGTCTCTTGTAAGGTATCATTACAAAGCTTATAATCTACTGAGTGTGTTCATCCTATTTGTATAAATGTATCACTCTTGTATCTGAAACTAGAAATATGAAATATAACTGAGGTCCTATTGTAATTATGCAAAGTGTGAGCCATTAATGGTGGCTTGGAATCTTGATGGCTCCCATTAACCAGGACAATTGGTTGTAAATGGCTCTGTTTACTTGTAAGTCTTTCTGTATACCTGTGTGCTGGCAAGTGTTTAATGAAGTCTTACAGTGTTAGGTAATCAAACTCAGCTTGTAGAGTGGAGGACTGTAGAGGTGTTGCCTATAGGAATCCTTAGGTTGCTGGTTCGATTCCAGCTCAAAGGAGAGATGTTCACATGTCACTGTAGGAGTCTAATAAGTGATGAGCACCAGCTGCTCCAATTTTCACTGGGACTACATTGTTTTACACCATTTGAGGATCTGGCCACATAGTTGGAGAACCAGAGAAGAGAAGACAGTATAATGGGAATACTACACCTGAGAAACATAATTTGCCCACAAAGAGTAGATTATATATGCTGGGTTATTAGCAACTATTTTGGTAGTCCCACTGCAGCACGCAATCTTCAATATACACTTTTGGGGTGGATCACCACCTAAGACTTATGGCAGACGTGTGTTTTAAAAAGGCATTGGAATGAGCAGAGTGTAACCACTTAGACCTCGATCCACCAAAGTACTGTGGCACATGCTGAACTTTAAACATCTGAGTAGTCCCGCTACAGTCAATGAAAGCCAAATGGGAATTTAAAATTCTTCTAACAGAGAATATTAATTCCACTTTCTCTAACAAATAATCCTGTGTTTTTGTAGGTTTCCCCATATAAATTTGACGGTTAAGTCAAGAGGCCTAAAACATGTGCTGAAAAATAAACCTGTGCCTAAGTGCTTTGCTGGATCAGGGCTTTGATACACAGGACTGGAAGATTCTTCCCCAGCATAAAGGCAGCATGGAAGGAGACACAAATACAAGGACAGGAGATGAAATCAAAGCGAGAGCCGTTAAGCTAAATGTTATGAGTGAAGAATGAAAGGAGTGGGTAGAAATTACCTGTACTGTAGAATTCTGCTGTGTCAGGTATTCTGGTGCCATCAGGGACAACTGCCCCGTTGAACATGTTGTTCTTATGCTGCATCACTTATAGATCCCCATAGAAAGAGCTCTAATATGTATTTCTTAAACACTGACCCGAGGCACCTTGTAGTCCAGCCAGTCTTGCATACTTTCATCTCTCCAGAAAACTCTCGTAACACAGGTAGTCTGCATTTGTTGTTTCACTCCTATTCATTAAACCCTAAACCCAGAACTGACCTTATCTTGGGGCTTCTGAGAATAGCTTTTGCTTTTCACAAGAATCTCATTTGCAAGCTCACAGGACCATGCATCATCCATAATGGCTTCCACTGACCTTTCTAAAAGCTGATCGGGGTAGAGAGAAAGTCTCTGTTAGGAAGAATACTTACAGCTCTTCAAACTCATTGCTACCTATTTTCAAAGTATGCGAATAGCTGATATTTAGAGACAACTAGTCTGAGGGTCTTTTATTGATGCAAGACATTAGGAACAGAGGAATTGCTAGAAGGCCTATTTAATCTGGTATTCTGTCACCAACAATGACCAGTACCAGATACTTCAGAAATAGTGAGGGTAGGGTTACGACAGGGTTAAGACTTACCATTATCTCATGGCCCGCTTACCAGCATAACCGCACTCAGTACACTGAGCAAAGTATGTTTCACTGGATATTGACCCAGTGCAGGGTACTCTCTCCCCAGGGCAGTGAGGAAAATAGGATGCTTCAGGAATCCCAGAATGCACTGCTACAACCATTGCTGTAAAACATGCTGTATGTGGATGCACAAACATGATTTTGTTGCTATGTGGATGCACACAGTTGGCAAGAGTAGGTAAATCAACCAATCATTTTATGTTACAGATGATCCTGCAGTGGTTCCCTTGTGTAGTATAGACACATGCTGAACATAGGTGGAACACAGTAGGCACATTGTCAAAGAGCTAAAGGCCCCTAGAGAGGATGAATGTTACCTGAAGCAGCTTGTCCTTCCATTTCTCCTCTTCCAGAGTTCCTTCATTATGTGCTGGAAGGGGCAGAAATGCAGCTTGTCAGCAAAAGTGTTTTGAACACTGTTCAGATTGACTCAGCAAGACATAATGGAGACTCTGAATACCAGCACAGAATGAGATGTATCAGCTAGGATGTGTGCTTTAGCTTAGCGATCAACATACACATATTGCATGCAAGTATTCAACCACTTGAACAAATTACCAAGGGAAGTGGTGGATTCTCCATCAGTTGATGTCTTTAGATCAAGACTGGATGCCTTTCTAGAAGACATACTTTAGTTCAGCAGAAGTTATTGGGATCAATACAGGGGTAACTGGGTGAAATTCTTCTGGCTGTTATACAGGAGGTCAGACTAGATGATCGAATGGTCCCTTCTGGCCTTAATATCTATGGCTCTATGAAAAAGTTATTATCAAAGCTGATGGAGATACAGCACAGCTGGCATTTCCAGGCAAAACAGCAAGGGCTTTAAAGGTGGGATTTTCAAAGGAGCCTATGGGAGCTAAGTGCCCAATTTCCATTGAATTTCAGTGGAATTTGAGTGCCTAATTCCCTTTCACTCATCTGAAACATCTCAGTTTTAATCCCTTTGCAGACAAATTAAAACCATATTCCCTCCTCTCCTTAGCAAAGTCTAAAAGAATGGCAGGGGCTATATTTAGAGAGTTATGACACCCTCCCTCCACCCCCGCTGCACTGTTACTTGGGGAAAATTCCTGTTGAAAAGTCAATGAGAGCCTGAATAAGGACTAAGGGCCTCAGGATTTGATCCTAGCTAAATAATATAGAGAAAAAAAAAGGTTGGCAAACAGATTTTCTTTCCCTTCCAGATCTGACTCAGGGAACCAGGGCTACAAGGAAAGAAAATCCCTAATGCACTCGGGAAGTGGGGAGGGAGTTCTGACCTGCCTCACTCGTCAGAACTCCAGTGAAACAGGAAAAGAAACAAGAATGGAGCATAAGGCAATAGGAATAATGAAGTGTGTTTGTACATCTAGGCTCAGACCTAAACCCAGTGAAGCTGGAAGAAATGGATTGTATTACAATGTATTGACTCAAGAGCAAATGTCAATCCACAGTGGTGTGTTGGGCTGGATAAAGCACTATGAGCCGGTCTTGCTACCATTGAAATCAGAAGCAAAACTTCAAATCACTTGAGTGGGAGCAGGACTGTGTAAGTCTATAAGAGCTGCCTTAACACAGATACATACTACTTCCATAGGACCATGCAAGTGTACTCTGAATCTACAGGGGAGTTGACTCAGAGCCTGTCACACACATCAGCTGTTCTGGGAACCCACCTTCCACTTCCTTACCTTCTAGATATTGTATAAGCTGAGGAATCATCTCCATCCACAATTGTCCCAAATCGGAATGAATCACAGGATGGAGAGAGTTGAGAGGATGGAGGGCATGCAGCAGTTGGAGAGCAACAACCCCACAGCCTCCATCTTTGTAGGGATACAATGAAATCACCTGGAAAATGAAGAGCCAGTGTTCAATTCAAGACTCTAGCAGTAAAAGGAAAGGTTGGGAGATTGAAGTATAATGCTTCATTTTGTCTCTTAAAAGGTTGCTTGTGCTGAGATGGAGATCAGGGTGGTCTGGAACAGGTTCATTTATTTATAGCATAAATGGCATTTGCAGGTGCCCCTTATGTCAGAGATTATTTCACAGTGATAGTAACAGAGGCCTGCTTTCAATTTCCTGTTGCCACACCAGGCATCACCAGAGACCCCAAGTGATCCAGCCAGGATGCGCAGGCATTTGAATGGCAGATCTGGAAGATTATCCTTGGAAATGGTCACTGCCCATCACCATCCAGTACAATTTAAGAAAGGCTCAGCTGGCCCAACCACTGCAAACTCTGGCTTCATAAATGACATATTTTAAATGTTTTATGGTTTATTATTGAACTAAATGCAAGTATCCTGGACCAAATAGATGAGTTACAGGAAGAAATGCTTACCAAAAGATGTAGCAGGAGTGCCTGAGGGGTTGGGAGTTCAGTCGCTGTCATAAAAAGAAATAGAAGCTCATTGAGTGTACTGGAGAGCTGGGGGCAACACATTGAGCTGTGAGTTAGAGATTAGACAATTTTTTAAAACCTGTCGATAGTGTTTACTGATCAACAGGGTCGTTCTCTAACTTGTTATAAGGTCAGTCTCAGTTTTGTCACTCTTGGACAGGTGAGTATGACCAAAAATAAAACAGAGCATTTAAACATCTGGCCAGGTGTCCAAGACTCCTGTCAGCATCCCTGCTATGAGTCACATAGCATTAAAGCTAAAGATACTTAAAGGGTGAGAAGCGAGAAGTAACTGGATGGAAAGACAACTGGATGAGTAAAAGACATCAGAGTTGGAAAACTTCAACAAGAAAGGATGCTTGTAAAACAGAAAACAATTATGTAGATTCTGGAACCTTTTGAACACCATTATCTTCATATAAACATATATAATGGCAGCCACAGAGTATTTATATGCCTCTTTGAGCTTTGCTTTGCAACCTTCAACTATTTAGGGTGTCTCAATCCAGTCTACTCTATAATAAAAATATGAACTGTAGGAGACAGTCCCATTCAGGATCTCAAATAAAGACTTGTGTTGCTCTCTAAATAGTTCAAGGTAGAACCAATATAGCTGGGCATGATTTTCACCTTCCTGGGAAATTTCCTTGTACACTTGTGCTTCTTTTTAGGTATATCTCCCTGCTCATAAGGCTCTTTATTTATAGATTTCTAGCATTCAAAACTTAAATGCTGACAAGAGTTTTGGTCAGTGTATGAAAATTGGAATGAAACGCAGCACTTTCATTGGTTGCTTGTGTCTTTCCATATGTAATGTAAGAGTGTATACTGAGGAGTTGGGTGAGTTCTGACTGCATGAGAAGATTCCACAAGAATTGCTTTGCCTCTTGCTAAAAGGCTAGGTACCTTACTAGTGTCAGTCCGATAACCTTCTCCAGCAGAAAGTTTCATTCACATCTTATATTATGAAGGAGATTTAATTAAATGTAGCTGTTCTGATACTAACGTCGTCTGTGTAACTCCGCCAGGTAAGGAGATAGGCCTCCTTTCCCTGACTTTATGAACAAAGATGTCAAGGTTTTGCAGACGGGGATGAAAGTGTTGACATACTCCAGAGGACACACAAACTGCAATAGCATTTTCCAGGGAACCTGAAAGCAACAAACAGCATAGGTTTGGATATCTTTATATGTGTGTAACCCACACACCTCCTGGGTATGGTGCTCTGTCCCCGTGTAGTGGCACTGAGATCACTTAGAGAGAGATTAATGACTCTGCTCTACATTCTTAGTTAAGAGCCATGTGGCTTTTAGCTCATGCAGTAGAGGCTCATGCATTTAGCTCCAAAGGTCCCAGGTTTGATCCCGCCCAATGACAACCGGGGTCTGTTGGTGTTACACATGCAACATCAGCTCTCTTGTGACTTTCCTTTTATCAATGGAAAAAAAATTGCTGCTTCTTAACCAATACTTCAGAACTCTGACCTCTTACTTAATGGCAGATACAACTGCCTTTCTCTGCCTCTCACAATAGCCCATCCAAATCTATACTGTTTTGTTTGATTCTTCCTTCTCATTATGGTCCTGATTCCTTTGGTATGCTAAGCACCTCCAGTAAGTTAACGTGTACCCTTGAATGCCAAGGAAATTAAAGGGAGTTAAGCATATTCAACATCTCACAAGAACAACTCAGCACCTAGCGGGATCCAAGGTACCCCTTTCCTCTCTTCCTAGCCAATCACATACTGCCCTCTTCATGACCAACCCAGGCTCTTTTGCATATAGACGGCTCTCATGAGGAATACATCCGAAGGAAGATCCCTTTGAGGCATGTCTCGGCTGGTGCATGCAGGTGAGGAAGTCAGGGGGAACCCTTTGGGTGGAACTACTGGAAAGTTTGATCAGCCCATGTGTATTCATGCTTACCAGGTTTAGGGTGTCGATACTATACACCTGGACTGCCTCTTCATCCCAGTCACCTTGAGGCTTCTATAAATAGATGAAAAATCAGGACAAGTTTATCTATTTGCCATCTAACCACATTGAGATGGAGGGGAAGAGGGCTAGAGTAAGTGCTTGGGTGGCTGCAGGTATCTAGAGGAATGTTTGAAAGATAATTATTTGAGTCCAACACAGTGGTCCTTAAGAAAACAACTGAAGCCCAATTAAATCCCCTTCCTTCTCCCAGCTTGCCATGTCCCAAAAGCACTTTTCACTGAAATTTTGAAAAAGGGAAATCATTCCCATTCACATTAAGGTTTGTAATTTTTTGTTTTTACAAAAACCAAAACCTGCATTTTGGCATAAAACATACTTGACACCATCCCTTTAACTTAAATAAACGTAACTGGTGGATACTGGTGAAGACAGCAATAAGGGCCAGAAAATTATACAGAACATAGTATGATATTTTCTATATCAATGGTACATAGTTAGGGTGACCAGTCGTCCTGTTTTTAAAGGGACAGTCCCATTTTGGGGGACTTTTTCTTATATAGGCGCCTTTTACCCCCCACCCCCTGTCCCGTTTTTTCACAGTTGCTAGCTGGTAACCCTATACATAGTGGCATATACATACATGGCAGAAAAAGGTATGGCAAAGTTTGAAAGGTCAAGGGAAAGGGTAACAATAATTGTTAAGAGGCCAGGAGGATTAAAAATAAGGGGAGACGTTTTTCTGTTTCTTACCATGGTGCAGACAGGGAGTTCACACTGCCGAATGAGAAAATCCACAAGTACACTGCCTCCTGGCAGGGTGAGATACCCACAGCATGCAAAACTTCTAATCAACTGCAAGAGAGGACTTTTCACCTCCAGGAGACACACAAATGAAGACAATCAACGATATTTAAAAATCCCACCATGCACCACAAATGTACTGTCTGAAATGCTCATCCCCACAGTAGAGTTTTTTACATTGTGCTTCTTGAGTAGATGGTCGGGTCTTGCTGATCATAAATAAGAAATCAGAGAATGCAGCTGCATCAACTTTGTTGCCAGAGCCACAGTGCAACAGGCAAAATCCTTCCCTTTAGTTACACTGGTGATTCTATACATTCATCTCCCACCCTACAAGCTTAAGACAAGTCTGTTCCCATACATTTGAATGTTCGCTTACCTGATAGTTGTTTTCCTGTATGAGAAGAGCCACAGATTGCACCATGATGTCTTTTACTTTGTCCATATGGGGAGCTGAAAGGAATACAGACAGGAGTTTTGGCAGGCTGGAGTCTATCACAAGAAGCTCCTCACTCTTTTTAACTTCCTTTACCAGCATTCTTGCCTTTTTGTGGATTAGATAAACATTTGGTTAACTCCTTTTTAGACTCTGTCATCCAGGAAAAGTTATGTAAGCACAACGACTGTCTTATTGTAAGATTACATCACCACTTCATGATGCGCCATTATGGTATGGTAGCATTGCATCATGCCATGGGTATTTTGGGACTCTTTAAATATGTTGCAAGCCTCACCCTAAGCATGTGAGACAGCTTTGTCATGGTGAGGATTGTTTTGCCTGACTCTGCTCCTGCTGCCAGACTGAGACTGAACAGAGCTATGCTGGTTTATACCAGCTGAGGATCTGGCACTATTAAAACATCAGTAAGGTTGTGAACATGAATTAAGATTGGGAATGTATGCTTGAATTCAGATTTCAAATATAAAATTGTTCAGACATTCACACACAAAGTTCTAACGCCAAGCTTAAATCTGCCCTGCACACAAGAGGCTGGCTCCAAAAATCTGGTGCAAGAGCCTCAGCTGGGACACGCTTCCACTGAAGTCAGCCAAGAAAGCACCTGGTCCCTGGGGTTGACAGTCAGAGGCACACTGATAATTCATATCATTTGTAAGCGTTCATTTGGTACTCGTGAAAGGGAGGAGCTGATGGCACTTGCTAGTGCCAGAGAGAGTATAAGCAAGTGGTAGACAAGCTCCCCCACCACAGTTCCACTCTTGCACCTTCCTTTCTTACTTACGCTCCTGGGTAACTTCTCTCAAGACTGTGAGAGCTGCAGTGCACTCCACCTCTTCTGCACCCTCCATCGGCCTTCTGAGGAAAGCCATAATATCCTCCTGATAAATAGGACCTAACAGAAGAGAAGTCTGACTAATAAAAAGCGATGTAAAGGGAAGAAAACCCATCACCACATTTCCAAATGAGGTTTTTCAGAAGAGTCAGGAATCTGAGATCCTGTTACTGTTGTTTCATTTCAATGTTTCTTTCTATTCTTACCCAGCACCTGGAAGGCTCGCAATGCAGAGGTTTGATTCCAGTTACTTAGCGTATCAGATATTTCAGTCTTAGCGGAAACCTGAAAACAGAAGAAATCCCTGTCACAGACACATGGTGCCACAGCAAAGGAGGATTTGAAACATTCACAGAAGCTGGAAAACCTGGTCCTTCAACATCCCAGGAATGTTTAGCAAACCAGCTCCTCTAAAAGAGAAAGAGCATATTTGCTTTGTTCAGCCCCACAGGAGTGCCCCAAGATAGTCTCTGATACGTTTGTTAAGTTTTCCACTGACAGAAGAACAAGAGTCTGTGTGGCCCTGATTGGTGCATCAGAAGAGGGAATTCCTCCAAGGGAGATTGTTAGGTTCTCTCCAGAGAGGTCTTGTGATGAACCTTTCCTGTTGAGGAGAAAGCAGCACCCACTTCCTGACCTGAAACTAGAGAGCGGGAGAGAAGGGCAGTGCCCCATGTGATAGAGAAGAGAACAGCAGATGAAGAGAAACAGATCTGTGATGACAGAGAAGGGAATAGCAGTGCTTCCATCCTCAGAGCTGGCATTCCCCCCTCAATGGAATAGCAGATCAAATCATCCCTAAAAATTTCAGTCTTGACAGCCCTCTGCAGAAATGTTAGATTTTTCACCCTTCTTTAGGATATCTGAGAAACGAAACAGCCCAGGACAAGAGACAGGAAAGTGATGGAGAACAGACAACTGCAAAGGGCAAAATCAATTATCGACCAAGAATGCCATCTGGAGCAAAGTGACATTATTTTCCACTCCTGATTGGAGTCAACCTCCTTACCTGTGTGAATAGAGTACTGAGAATATTGTCCAGACTATGGTACAATCTCTTACTCCATTTCTTGTGGCACAGTACAGCATCCAGAAGATGGCACAGGCACTGTGGTAAAGAAGAGATGAGTAATAAGGAATGATCTATTGAACCAATCAGCTATGGAACTCTCCTTCTAATTATGAAAGGTTTTCCGCATATCCTATCAATGGCTGAATTTATCCCACACTTGTCTCTGTACTTCCTGAATCTCCAGGGACAAGTGGGGGTCGGCAACCTTTCAGAAGTGGTGTGCCGAGTCTTCATTTATTCACTCTAATTTAAGGTTTCGCGTGC